GAAGAGTTAGGAAATTTTAAGCAGAACACCAAACTCCAAAGAAAAAAAATGCCTCTCGCTAATCCAGCACAAAAATTCATATTTTTTTGTTACCATGAAAATTCGTATTTAGTGGTTTTACCAAGTGCTTATTGTGCAGCTGTTTTTATATCTGCATGCACTTCGATGGCAATAAACCATATTTTCATAAATATTTTTAACTCAACTAGGGCCCATTGGTAACAACGCTTTCACAGGTGTCTACAATTTTTAGACCTGGTTCCACCAAAAGTTTTATTCAACTCGGTAATCCCATGTCCGTAGCCTCACATTTTAAGAAGAAATAGCAAATTGTTAACATTTGCTGAAACGGTATAAAAAATCAAACAACAGTTTGCAAATACTGATTTTTTTATTAAAGAAATCAACCCAACGCGGTGTGTTTATATTTATTTATTCCAAGTATGTAATTATTTTTCTTATTTTAATACTTACATTCTCATAACTTAACTAACATACTTTCTTCATTCTTTCTTTTAGAAGACGAAGTGGAACACAAATCAAATAGCGTTATTAATTCGTTCAATTGACGTATGGTAAAACGACAAACGGTCGCTTTAGGAATAAGGGAAACGATTCGTAAAGTCCCAGTGACTCAATGGTGGACTGTATAATTTCCCTGACAAAATCAGGTGAAGGGCCTTTGGAGAGCGAGTCCACTGTTTATAATTATTTACCAGAACCGCGGTCCGCCCTTTCCTCCCTCTTTGAACTTTTTACCCCCTAGCTTTATTTAAACATTGCAAAGATTAGACGGGTTTATTTAAGAGAGCCAATTTTGGCCTAGAGCGTTTTTACCGTTATTTGAGGATCGAGTAGAATATGGTATAACAGTGGGGCGGGGAGAAATAAATGTTTATGGTTGTCATCCGAGAAGGTGAACATGGGGTTGTCTCTGCCCATCTATTTGCGGGGTGGATAAGGAGCAAAAGTCATAATAACGCAAAAAAAAGGAAATCGAAAAATATGTCTATGTTCAATCAAGATTTAAGAAAATCCCTGTTTACTCTCCAAATTTAAGAATTATAAACTAGGATTCATTGAAATATTATAATATACATGGTCTGACCAGATATCTGACCGCGCCATAAAACACTTTTTGGTCATTTTTCTACAACGTGGTTAATGACAAGTGATCTATTGAGAAGAAGCCTGTTCTGGTGATTTTTCATTTTTGTTATCGAGGGTACCCTTTGACTGGTTATTAGCTTCGAGAACAGTCTACTTGATGTTGGATTTAGGCTGATAAATTTAAGTTATTACAAGCTTTAAAATGTCATTAATCCTCTACTGTATTAGATTAGATAACATTGTAGGAAAGCTTTCGGACTTCCACAGTGGTAAACGAGCAATGTCGAATTGTCTTTTTAACCGGTCGACAATTCTCGGTCGAAACTCGAAATGTTGACAGAATAGAAGGAGGCTTTATCAGAAAAGTAAAGAAAGGACGGACAAATGGTTTGAACCACCCTGGGAAATATATTTTACCTCGTGTAAGCCGCCGGTTGAGAGGAAGGGCGGTCGCAAGATCTGGAGGGAGTGTAATCAGAAGTTTTCTCCTCCATCACGACTTGACCGGCATGCGGGTTGCCTATCACCGCGCCCAAAAATCTAATTTTCTTTCATTTTATAATCAACCTTGCGTTCAGGGAGACTGGATGAATTATGCGTTTTTAAATGAAAAATTATAATACAAAATGTATGTTAGGCGGAAGTTCCCACCTAAGGTTCACACTAAGCCTATTAAATCTATTATGTAAACAACGTAACCGTGCACACATTTTAAATCAGTAAAGGAATGTTAAAAGGGATGTTTTTGTGGGAAAGTGAGCACTAATAGATATTATGACTGACAATTTCGAATAAAGCAAAATTATTTATCAACTAATCATTTGTTTGAACAAAGAAAACAATTTGCCCGACGGTAAATTAGGATTAATTTGTTATTGTAAATTATAAGAGTATTTTTATGTATACGTGCAGAAAGCAAAGGTTTCTGTTCTTTATAATTCTGAAATGGCCAATTGAAGAACAAACAAAATATTTGGTCTCATTAGAATTGAAAGTATAACTTTCGAGTACAGAGGTAAGACTTAGTACAAATTTTTTTAAGAACATTTAAATGAACTTAGTAATAAACGTGCTTTTTTTCAACCTTCGGTTGATCTCAGTTTTGAACTGAACATTACGAATTGCCATTTTAATATAAAAAAGAAGTTAAATAAGTATTTTGAAATAACTTTACAGAACAAATATTATTATAAATATAGCTTAAAACAAACCAGAGCCATTGCCAGAGATTTTTTTGGTGAAACAGTTGTTATCGAAAAAAAATAGAAAAGTTTACTTTTTTTAATTTTACAATTAAAAGAAAACAAATTTTTATAATAATATTGTTTGGATCTATATAGCGAGCGCGTAAGAATGCCACTGGATATGAGAATTGTGCTTTAGTACGGCAGCGAGTATCTGGATCTCCTGTTCCGATTCTTGGAGTAAACAGGGCTGTTTTATTGTATATAGTATTGTTGGTTTTGTGTCCCTAGCGTCTGTTAAGAGTGGATTAATTTATTGGCGTGGAAGTGAAGCGGGGGAGAGCGTACCGATGGTCCCTCATCGACCCTCAATTAGCTTATTTACGTATTGTATAAGGTATAAATAGGAAAGAATATAAGAGTGAGTGAGAATGGAAGACTGATTTCGTTGGAGGTTGCAATGTCCGTCCTATCTGTTGCTAGCCCCTGGAGCCAAACCTCGGTGACTGGACAAGACCGAGCTCTGACCCCCAGACTGCCAAAACCAGGGATGGAAGATTCTCGAAGCCTGCCGGAAATTTATTGTAATCACAAAAGCTTGAAGCTTTGTGGATACGAGAGGTAATAGGTTCAACTCAGTGTACAAGCATTGACAGATTTGAGATTCAAATCAGTAATCCGTATAATAATATTAAATGGTTCTTGATAATTAATTAAGAAGAATGATTTGAGAACTTTTTGATAATGAGTTAATGTTTAAATTGAAAAAATAAAAATTATATTAGTTTACCAATGTCCTTCTATAGCGATATGCGTGTGTACAAACGTACCTCGCCAATTTTTTTCCGCTTATTCTAAGAATTCAGCCGCTCCTAAAGTAGCCTTTTTTGAACTTACGTATAACTTTTGATAATACAGGACAATTGACCAGTAACTGAATATGTCCTCCTTATCGCCCCGGTAGCGAAGAGGTTTTTAAAAGGTTTATAATTTAAATTTACAAGGTGTCCTCATAGTTCTGAAATTAATCTAACATTTTGTGTAGTTTCTGAACGCAGGCAAAGTCAAGCTTTTTAATCCTTTATACAGGGAGAGTTTAACTTTTGTTTTATCGCTAAATTTTTTCATTGGAGATTATTTTGAGAAAATCTCGAGACACGTTAACTTTTATTTTTTGCTTAATTTCTCATGATCCAAAAAATTTTTGTTCTAACTCTCCAGGCTACGAATATAAGATTAGCTATTTCAAACGAAAGATACACATCAATGTAATTTTTTAAAAGGTTTTGTGACGCTGAATTCAACGGGTTTTTATTTACGATCAATTAAAATTATAAATAAATAAATTGGTGATTAATTAAAGAAGGTGAAGATATTGTTTTTTGAAAAACAATGTTCTGAAATAGTTTTTTGCTAATAACTTGTGCACGGTTGCTTTAAATTAAGAACCATTTACCACGTTAAATTCAGTGTTAAAACCCCTAATAATTTGATTTATAAAAAAGTTACCGTCTATCTGTAGAGCCTACATATATAAGATATTTGTACTTCATTTTTAACTTGATTTATAATAAAAGTAAAAGAATAACTTCCAGAATAACGTTCAGAGATAAGACTTAGTCAAAAAACTTTCTTAACAAGTTTTAAATATTCTTTATAAGAAATCGCTGTAATATTCGTTTGGCAAAATTCAGTTTTGATCTGAACAGTATGAATATCTTTTTGAATATAAATTAATCACTCTTTATATTATAAGAGAATATTTGTGTCCAGAGATATTTTTTTATTGTATACTAAATCAAGGGTGTTGTATGAAGCAGCAGCCATAAAATAAATTTATATGCGTTAGAGATTTTTTATCGAACCTATTGCATACTTAAACTTGACACTCACAAAAATAAAAGATTTCAAATTGGCAATATTGTGTTAGGTGAAATTGAGAGTGAAATGCACTTAAGCTAATAACGTATATACTTCGTCTTCTATTTTATTTATAGCCCTTTGTTGATTGATTTGGAACAATTTACAATTGTTATCACTTATTAATTACAAGTTACAATTTAGCAAGTAAGAATGTTAGTTCTACTTTCTCCTCAGTGAATGTCATGAATACAAAAAACATTATCTAATCAATAAACGGTAATTTATGTGTTAAGTGATGGTAAAAACATCATTGATGATTTAAGTAAATCGTTATTTAAATACATTTACAATAAACTGATTAAGCCGTTAAATGGGGGAAAATATATTCAATGACAAATTCTCGGATCGCCAGTATTATCCCCAATTTCACGCATTAATTATACTTTATCTGGACAATTGTACAAATCCTTTTAAGTTCTCCACTCGGAAAAATATTAGCCGGGAAGCTAAATCCTTAAAAGGGTCCATTCTGTATTTATTATCACTAGGGTTTTCCGGTCTGGGGGAGGCGACGGCGGCGGATAGCCAGTTAAAGCCTAAGATTCCTTCTTGAAAAATTGGCCTTCCAGACGAAATATTGTACTGGAAATAGGGTGGGAAAAGTTTGTCCACTTTTATGGAATTCCGTATAACGCTCCGGAGTACTTAAGGTAATATTTATTGGTTTCAACCTGTACGACATCATGGATCATGATAGATATTTAACAACCCCCGTGACATGTCGACTCTCCCTTTGTACACGTTTTTAGGGTAATCAATTGTCTAAATTCATTTCTTTTTCAGGGCCTCCCGGTGCGCCTGGGAAGAGAGGGAAAAGGGGGAAGAAAGGTGATGCAGGAGAACCAGGACCTGCTGTGAGTATAAGATGTAGTACTGATTGAAAATGGTTGTTTGCTCTTTTTAATAAAATGTAGTTTAATCTCTTATTTATAAATGTTTCTATTGTTTATCAAGTATTTGTGAATACACGTATTTTATGAGTAGAAGTATCTTTATTGAACAGCTTTTAAGTAGTTAGCACAAAGACTTGGTATGTTGGGTCCGTTCAAAATTTTCCTTTATTATTGTTGTTTGTTGTTTTGATTTTAATTGTAGTTCTTCCAAAAATCTTGGAAATCTTTTTCGAAATTTCCTATCGACTTATTTTATATTCACAATGTGCGATTACGATTGAGATTGAAATCATCCATTCTTTGTATGCACATGTAGAATGAAGTCACGACTTTTCCTAAAAACCAACTGAGCTGTTCTGAATAGAATGGCCAATCTTAAATTAAACTGTTTCCTTTAAATTTACAAAGCCGTTAGATCATATTATGAAAAAAAAAATTGTTAAACTAAAGCAAAAGAATGTATTTCTTTGGCTTGAAGCTGTTTTAGACCCTTCGACTTGACCGGGTCACATTAGAAATGCAACTAAATCGCTATAATATATTATGGAGAATTCTAAAAATAGGGAAAAAATTCATTGTAACACTTTTACTATTTAATAAAAAAAAAGGGTAAATAATTGCAAAGATGGATTATGTTATAAAAATGTTGCAATGAGTGCAATATGTAAATACACATTTGTCTTAAAATGTGTAAAATAAAAATAGTTTCAAATATTTTTAATGTCGACTGCTTTGAAATAAAAAAAATCTTAGGAAGAAAGGTACTAGAAAAATTTAGGAACAACATAAATAAAAACAGTTGTAGAATGCCAAATTTGACTAGACATCTGCCTGATTTTTAACAGTTGGCATTGAATGTGGAGTAAACTACATTTAATTTGAAAGTTGTTTCAGAACGTAGTCAATTATTGTTAATAATAAGATATTTATCGAATCTATCTTTTTTAATTTCCAACATAAAAACTTCTAACTTTATCGTTTTACAAACGCATTTTTTGTTTTTTTAATTATTACTAAATGTTAAATATTATTGTTAGAATTTACAATGCACAGAGTAAGTTATTATTAAAATTGTAGTTTGTAGTATTGTATTTTTCTTTTCTTTTTTGTGATAATTTGCTTTTTTCACAGGGCCCAACTGGTCCACCTGGCAAGAATGGGTTTCCGGTATTTTATTGTTTTTTTGTTTTTATTTTGATATACTTTTATTTTTATTTATTTAAACAGCGCCTCTAATGTTTGCATGAAGCATGCCTTCGCCGACGACAAAAAGAGGAAATTCTTTCATGTTATTATGTTCTAGGGCGTGAGAGGCTCTAAAGGAGACCGCGGGTTTTTGGTAAGATATTTTTGTAAAGTGGAATTTCCGGTGTTGGGAAAACATTATTCACTACAATAATTTTCTCTAATTTCATGTGATGTAAAATTAACTCTTAACTAATGGCCTTAATCTTGAAACACCTTTAATAAAATATAACACTTTTATTGTCGGTTTATTGTGAGGTTCCGCTACCTCTGGCATAAACGTGAAATTTTTTCTATTCTAATTCAATTCCGCTTTTCCACCGTAGTATGAATCGTGGGGTTATTACAACGGATGGAAGTCCGTGGTTGAAGCTCGCCTTGGTGGTGGTCCACGTCTCCAGAACGCATTTCCCAAATGACCGGCCGGCCCTCTTTGTCTATTATTCCACACCCTTTTCTAATCCGAATCGTCAGGGATGTCTGTCGGTAAACAGGATGAATTATTCGGCCGGACACTCGCCCAAAGCATGGGCAGGAAGTGGAGCGGAACGAATGCGATAAGGCCCCTGGATGTTCAACTCCTCTCGTATCCATGTCCCGTTGAATATTAACACTGGGGATAACTTTCAGGCTCGGATTATAGTCTAAAATCTCAAAACCTTAGAGCTAACCTTAACGATTTACCGTATTGTTTTCTCGCTCTGAGCTTCTGGATACCATATTAACCCAACAAAACTGGGTTCCAGCTGATGATGGATTGTAGCTAATGCTGGTCTGAAGACAAACAGCTACATCGAAGAAACAAGAATTGATGGGCCAAATTATTTAACTATAATTATTCAGAAATCGTGAGATGTGGTCTGGTGTGATGTAAGTTTCAGGAAAACATTTTCTTTATCGTGCCAACGTTTCGATCTTTACTGAGATCATCTTCAGGGCCTGGGATTTACAAACATTTTTAAATCTCAACACGACGCGCAAGAATGGCACACGTACGCAGAAAACAAACACTTTGAGTGAGAAGAAATACTTTGATTGAATATAAAAAAATATATTTTTTTGCATTGTATAAATTCACTTTTTTCCACAACGTCAATGTATTTGTTAAATTTAAACAATGTTTGTAAATCCCAGGCCCTGAAGATGATCTCAATAAAGATCGAATCGTTGGCACGATAAAGAAAACGTTTTTCTGAAATTATTCAGAAATCGTGAGATGCAGTCTGATGTAGGTTTCAGAAAAACATTTTCTTTATCGTGCCAACGTTTCGATCTTTATTGAGATCATCGTCCGGCAGGGCCTGGGATTTATAAACATTGTTTGAATTATACAAATACATGTAGGATGTGGAAAAAAAGAATTTATACCATGCTTGAAANTCCTTCCCCACCCCTTAAAAATCCAACGTATATAAACATAAAACAGCAAAATCTCACTGGCACTCTCAACACGACACGCAAGAATGGCACAATTACACAGAAGACAAACACTTTGAGTGAGTAGAAATACTTTGATTGAATACAAAAAAATATATTTTGCATTGTATAAATTCACTTTTCCATATCCTAAATGTATTTGTTAAATGTAAACAATGTTTGTAAATCCCAGTCCCTGAAGATGATCTCAATAAAAATCGAAACGTTGGCACGATAAAGAAAATGTTTTTCTGAAATCTACATCACACCAGACCGCATCTCACGATTTCTGAATAATTATCGATGGTCACTAATCACCACACACTATTTAACTACCTGCATCGGTTGATGAGACACCTTAATAATAATTCAATTTCTTGTTCTAATCTAGTATTAAAATGTGTCACAACTTCTCTGACGGTTTTATATGGAGACTTTCTTCCTTGGGGCATCGATTGATAGTGGGTTTTGTTTTCGTAGCCAGAACAAACGACTCAAAAAGTTGTTACAGTTCACTTATTTTTTTATCACTGAATTCTGTGTTTTCCAATGAATATTTTCTTATTTTATTATTATTGGCTATGTGTTCAACAAAAATTTTCTGTTTGTTCTTCCCTTTTCTATTTTCTAGTTTATTTTAACGCAAACTACTAAAACTGTAAGTAACAGCTAATAGAAACTAATTCATAACGATTTCCTCTTATTGTCATAATTTGTAATGCATGAAACTGTTTTCTAAACGTTTACGCGTAAGCGCAATGCTTTTATTTTCAATAATTCCATTACATGCATTTATCGAAACACATGCAATGATCGTTGTACTAATTCGTTTTTGCGATGTTTTCAGGGACCAATTGGCCTGGACGGGCCAAAAGGAGACCCAGTAAGTCATCTTTACCGGATAAAATTGAAGACAATGTTACGGATTTATGGCAAATTTATTGTGTTTTCAGGGCCGGCCTGGCGAAAAAGGCCAAAAAGGAGAGCTTGGGAATCCGGGATTCGATGTTTATGCAGCAGTCAAGGTATATCTTGATGTATCACGTCGGAAAAAGTAAAATCTACAATGTTTCTTTAAATTCTTAAATTATTAAATTTTTTGAGGGAAAAAGTAAAAATAATTAACGCCAAAATTTAAAATGACTTATAGTTAACGACTTTAAAATTACTTATAAAAATTGTATAATAGTTGAAACTCAAAAAATTTAATATTTGGCAATATTAGCTCAAAATGCTCATACTAACCTCATGTGTGTATATAACTTCTAGAAATTAACGCAGTTAATCTTTTAAAATTTCAGTTTACAATTAAAAATTATTTTCCACCAGCAGGACAGTTGAATTTTTTTTCTTTAATAATTATACAATGACGAACATTGTTTACCTTTAAGTTTACCTCCTAAATCATATAATTTGATTAAAAATCTATTTTCGTGAGAATTTCTCCTCCTGTAAAGTATTATAGTTTCAAATTGACATGTATACAGGGTCTCAAGAGGTCAGTGACTACGTTGAGAGGCGGAACGCTTGGCTACGCCGAAATAGTAGCCGTAAAGGTAAAACTGCCAAAAAAATATCGAAAGTGGGCCCTTCGGTTGACACTGCCTGTATTTCATTTCTGTACTGTCTTGATTACAGTTTAATTCTAGATAGACAGTATTTAGGTGTATAGTAGTTAGTTCATAAAAAGTTGGTTTGTTACTTTTTTAAATTTTTATTTATTTTCTTCTGGTGGTTTTATTAAAAGAACGTTTTACTTATCTGCATGAGATTTTAATTTCTAAGTACATCCTTGTTTTCATTTTTTATTTGATTTTCATTTCTTTATTTTGTTTTAGTTCTTCTTTTGCATTTATTTATAATGGTTCTAGGGTCTTCAAGAGCAAGGACATAATATTTCAGCGCAGAGTGTCATAATGCTCAAAGTAAGTGTTTGGTTAAAAAATGAAACACTTGATTAAAATTAAATTTAAAAAATGGAAAAGAACCAAAATAAAACATACTTTGAGCAAAACAATGGGGTTCTTTCCAAAAATGCCAAATATTAGACATATTGTTATGACCATTACAATTTGTTATATTGTTTTTTTTTTTAAATAACATAAAATATGTTAAATCATAGTTTAGAAGAGAAATCCACCATGTACTTCCTTTCAATCCGGCCCATGATGTACCGTAACATAATGTTGTTCATGAAAAACGAAAAAAGTAGATCAAACGGGGATGGGGCCTGTAACGCAATAGCTATATTTCGGATATTTACTAACGGTATATTTCGGAGTATTTACTAACACTTTTCTCATGGTTTCCTTACTTCATTAATTCACTCTTTTAAGATAAAATCGATTAAAAAAATAGTAACAAGGAACTATAAAGAAAAACGTTATGATAAAAAAAAAATTATATGGCATTAGTTTTTCTCAAAAAAACCAGCTTAACTTTAAAATAATACAGTCAACTCTTGTTAATTCGAAACTTAATAATTCGAATTTATTGATAATACGAACTCCTCAGAAGGGCACTTCACTAAATCTAAAAAATTCTGAGCATTTTGATACACTCGGTAATAAGAAATATTTTTTGTAACAGGGGGAGAGAAACAGCATGCTATTAATCGAAATGGAACCACTTCCCATCTTTTTATAATTTGCGCTTTTTCTTGTTATATTCCTCTAAATTTCTTTGTAATGTTTACTTCCTTACAGCCTAAAGTTCCTCCGAATTTTTTCTAGTTTGTTATGTTCTGCGGTCAGTGTTTTGTCAACGTGTTCTCAGCGCTGGTCACTTCGGAAAATCATTTACACAAAGGACGCGCGCGCGAGGCCACATTGAAGCAAAAACCACTTCACGATTTTTTTAATTATGCGTAACAATATAGAGGGTGAAGGGAAAAAATTGGTTCTGGACAGTCCTATTATCAGATGAGAGTAAATTTAATAGTTTGGCTAAGACGTGATAAATAAGCATAAAATTAATTTGATGCCCAATATAGTTTAATTATATTAATCAAACAAATTAAGACTCAAAAGTATTTAAAACCGTAATATAAATAGATAAGAAATAAAAATAAACAAAAAAAATTATTTATAAATAAACAATAATATGCTTGTCAAAACGCAATTTAAAAATACCTTCTGAGACATGATTTTCAACCGTATACCTAATTTATGATCTTTATTATATGGCTAGAAGTGTCTATGAAAAAGTTATAAATATTTACGTAAGTAGGTTTGGTTTGAAAATTGACCCTTTACTAACCAAGTTCGCCGACCCCTGTTTTAGACATTTAATTGATATTGTAATGTTAAATTTAAACAGCAATTGAGTCGGTCTATTTGTTTTATTTTCGCAGGTACAAAGCTAAATCTTCAAATCTAATTTAAGTATGATCATAAATATTTTTAGCTGTTATCTTTTATACAAAAAATTTGGCTTATATTGAATTTTATAAGAATGAGGGCCTGTGAAATTAAATATGTCCAAACTAGATTTTCGTCAAATTTAATTATCCGAATTTAAACTTGGGGAAAGTGCGGCCCAAAACGCGCGTAACATCAATATAGTTTTGGGGGAGGGGGACATTAGAAAATGCACTGGGCAGTGATGGTTTCGGAGATTTTTTCTTGGAGATTTCGATCTCGAAGATAGGGAAGATAGCGGTAGGCCTTCCATTGTGGACGACGACCAACTCAAAACGTTGATTGACGAAAATTCACAAAAGACAATACGGGAAATTGCGGACCAAATGTTGCGCCACACAAATGATCCATTTCCCTATCGAATCATCACGTGCGATGAGAAATGGATTCTGTATGATAATAGGAGGCGTGCATGTCAGTGGTTGGACAAGGATGAAACGCCAAAACACTTTCCGAAACCTAATCTGCACCCAAAAAGTTATGGTGACTGTTTGGTGGTGTACTGCTGGCGTTGTTCACTATAACGGGGTTGTTCCTGAATTGTGGTGAAACTATCACAGCAGAGGATATTGCCAAAAAATTGACAAAATGCACGGGGAACTACATTTTTCTCCAGCATTGGTACCGTAAGGGCCGATTCTTCTTCACGATAACACCAGGCCACATGCTACAATTCCATCCCTGCGGAAACTTAAGGACTCAGGATAAAACCATACCGCACCCTCCATACTCACTCGACCTGTCACCTACAGAATTCCACATTTTTAGGCATTATGATCAGTTCTTGAAGGAAAATAGAGATTGCGGTGAAGCCGAAAACTCCTTCCAAGATTTTATTGTGAGTCCAAATAAAGATTTTTATGTCAATGGAATAAAAGCGCTTATTAGACATTGACAGAGATGTATAGATGTTAGAAAATATTTCAAATAAATTTTCTTTATTTCATAAAAGTAAAAAATAGTTTTGTCTGCCTTTTCAAAACCTGTATTACTTCTGCACGAACCAAATGTTGGGTTGGAATGCTGGATTCGAACCCGGGACCGTGTCAACGTTTTAACCATTGCTGCAGGGGACCATAGTAGCCGAGTGGTCAGTGCGATAGACTCTCGGGCTGGTTGACCCCGCGGGTTCAATTCCCCCGTCGCATCGGCCCTTTTGTTCACGCTAACCCTACCTCCAACTACATTTATATGATGCAAACAATTATGTACTTACTCTGGCTAATATGCGAGTTCATCAGGGCATTAAAATAAATAAATGATTGATCATGGCTGTGTTAATTCATGGCTCATGACATTGCTTTTCATAATATATCGGATGCTCTAATTACTTATTATTTTTTAAATTAAACAATAGGTTTTTATCAATCTCATGACTTCTTTTTGTAATCATGGACAAATATTCCTATAATGTCTTATAAATTTAATTTTCATAATGACAGATTTAACAAATTTTGTTCAAACTTGAAATCTGAAGTATTTTACTTCTTTTTTTCCAAATGCACCATATAGCAAAACATTAAATAAATGACTGTTTCACACAAACTATTTGGAAAGAAACCCATTTAATTTTATCAGATTTATATTTATTTGTATACTCTTATCGCACAATATTATGGGAGGGCTATTTAAGTTTTGTCTTTCTGTCACTTGTAATCTATGCATGAGTAATTTTTTGTGCTTGCATGAGTTAATAACTTTTCTTATAATAACTATCCTTAAGTAGTATTTGGTGTATTATTGTTATATGTGAAGTAAACGAAATAAATAAAATCCTAAAAAATAGTTGTGTTAATATTTGTGCGTTTATTGAAAGGGAGAACCGGGGGAGCCAGGTCCTCCAGGTCCACCAGGGCCTCAGGGTCCAGAAGGATTGCCGGGTCACGACGGAAGACAAGGGGTGCCTGGAGAAGCAGGATCACCAGGTGAACGGGGGCCTCCAGGACCTCAAGGCTTGCCAGGTCCAGCAGGTGAAACAGGACCTCAAGGCATTCAGGTTAGCAATGAACATTTTCCATTTTAAATCAAGTTCCCGATTAGTTTGTGTGTGTCTAGTTTTTATATGTTTAAAGGGTGATGGAAGAATATTGAAAAAATGTATTTCGGAATGAGTGTGTTTAGAGGTGTCATTCAATGCTCCATATAAAGAGCGAGTAGGAATGCCACCTGTTATAAGAATTATACTTGAGTACGGCAGCAAATCGGTATGATCCAATTTTTGAAAGAAACAGGGATATTTTTGTGTATATATATATATATATATATTTGCGTGTCGTGTTGAGAGTGCCAGTGAGATTTTGCTGTTTTATGTTTATGTACGTTGGATTTGGAAGGAGTGGGGAAGGAAATCGGTACAGAAAAGACATTTTTGTATAAGGCGTCGGCTTCTTTGAGGTGAAAAGTGCCGACGAAGGGAAACAATGTGTTGGTAATGGTTCGGCCAGATTATCCTTTCAGGAGTATATAGAAAGGGTTAAATAGGAAAAGGAAAGCTAAATTGTTGGAACAATTAGACTATGTGAAAAATATTTGATGAGAGGAATGTAATGTAAGATATATGTATGTTATCTATATTGAATTTGATTAATGATATTGGCGTAGCTGCGACTGAGTTTACATGTATCTGTTCTGTAATTGATGCTGTGTTTATCTATGTTGATATAAACCATATCNTTTTACTGGGGGATCCAGACAACAACCAGTTAATATTATTACTGTATATACAAAAAGTTTGGTGATGGATGTTGTTCGCGAGAATGTATTTATAAGCGTGAATCAGTGTATAATACAAGAGTGTCGATGGCAAAATATCTCAGCTTGGAAAAAAAACTCATAGGTTCAATTCTGCACAATGTATGTATGCAGAATTGAGATTATATAATTCTAATTAACTGTATTAATTAATTTCACACAGGATTCTAGTTTATGAGATTTTCTAAACATATAAATTTATTTGCATAATAATTTAACAGATGTACAAACATTATTCTTTGATATTAGTTTTGCTATTGCACTGTAAAAATTGATTTTATTAATTACAAGCATGATGAAGTTCATTCAGCATACTGCATGGAAAATTGTTTATGCATTGATTCAATATTGCATCACACTATATTTATCATTTGTAAACAGTTCAAAAGGAAAAAAAAAGATGACATTATTAAATGTATATCAAAGAATAATGTACTGATGAAAAATTCAAAAGAAAAATGACAAGTTTTTGTCTGGGACATTTTTCGATCACATGTTTCGATATTGTAGGGAGAAAAGGGTGATAAGGGAGAAAGGGGACTAACAACTACGCTCAAAGGAGACCAATTCCCTACAGGTATCATCGAAGGACCACCAGGGCCACCAGGACCGCCAGGTCAGTTATACAGAATTTAAAAAAATAAAATTTAAAAAAATACACCCAAGCTCCACCATGGAAGTGAATAATGTTAGGCTTTTGCATTCACCCTATTTTTTTCATTTGTCCCACAATTAAATCATTTCTTGAGACACCTTGAGTGGCACTTAATTTGTCTAAGGACCTGAAGGAGGCAAAGGTGAGAAGGGAGACATAGGCCCTACCGGTCCGCCTGGCCAGCCTGGAGAGAAAGGAGCCAGAGGCAAGCGAGGCAAACGGGTAAGATGCTATGACTAATAGATTAATAATTTTGCATTAACTTTTTGCATACTTCTTATGTTTCAAGCATGATTTTATTTTATTTTTATAATTTTTATATATTTTTACAAAAGATAATAGCATGATGCATGTATACAGATTTTGCAGATAGAATTTTTTTTGCATTTTCCTTTTATTGTAAATTTATCATTTTGTGTATATATTTTATGTAAATGTCTTTTTTCTTTATATTATCTTTGTTTATTTTTGTTTAATTTAAGCTATACTATTTTATGTCTCTTTTATAACACTATAACCATTATTTTATTGTAGATACTTCCAGATTTTTTCTCCTTTGCCCTTCTGAGTAATTATCTTAAAAAAACCTTATTTTTTTATATTTATATTTATGTTCTTTAAAAAATCCTGCACAAAACCGAAAAAGTTTCCTTTTAATTTTTCAAAATATAATTTTAATAACTTACTGCCTGTGATGAAACTAGTTAAATTTTTATGACATCTTGATCATAAATAAATTTATCATTTTTCCATACTAAATTCATTTCATTTTATTTTCTGCAAAAATTAATTATTACAGTCCTTGTCCTTAAACAAAAGGCGCTACCTTGTTACCAAAAATTTTCAATTTATATTGCTTTCCATTATTAAGTACACTACTTACTGTTATCAGAGTGCTATCGAATTCATAAAAAAAAAGTATTTAATCTGTTTTGTCAATTATCAGAATAATTATTTCTGGGTATAATAAACAATAAAATTAGTAAATAAGGCAAAATTAAAAGAAAGAAAAACACTCAGTTCCTTCATATTGTAGAATGAGCAGGCGGTAGATCCCTTAAATAAAAATTTGTATGACAAACTAAAAATAGATATTTTTGGATGGATAATTGGGACAATTTTTTTTCTATGCTGTCCTGTTGTTCAACATAAAAATTTATAACTTCCCTGGGTTTTATCCAAATTCAACAATTCGAAATCTTGTTTGTTCTACCTTTAGCCTATGTCAACGACATTTAGATTTTATGTCATTATAAGTGAAAAACATAAGACTCTGAAATCCACAACATCACCTCAGATGATATTTACAATTTAAATTTATTTACAGAGCTATGTTATGCAAGTACATGTAATTTATAATCCTTAAAATAAAAAATAAAAAAAATAGTAGGAACTATCTTTTTAAAAAGGATTGAACTCACTCCACCATTTATCATTCCTGTAATTTATAATGTTCTAAACTTCTGTAAAGTGGCTGGTCATCGGTGGAGTCATTTTAAAATTATTGCTAGTTTTGTTATTCGAAAAAACAATTATTTTTTTCATTTTCTCAAAAATTTGTATTCAGTGGTTTTAGGGATGCAAAAAACAATTGTCAACTTTGTTTCTTGCTAAAAAAAAGTATTTTAGCATACTTTGCTGTCACTCAGACACAAATTATATAGTTCAATATCTAATCATACCCTACTCGTAGCTAACATTTTTTGACCTACTATCATCTACAAAGTTTCATTAAAATCCTCTCCTTGTAAGCAAAACTCATAAATTTATTATTGTTGAAGGCATAGTTTGTAATATTGGAAGTCGATATTTATATTTGTCTTATATTTTTTCATGTTTACATTTGTAACCATATTAATCTTCAGAAATAGTTCTAATGTCCTGATGAAGGCAATACATTCTTCAAAAGCTTAACAAAGGAACCAGATGGTTTTATTTCTTTCAAATTCGCCTTATCTCTGATTTTTTATATACAATTGTAATATTAAGGATGATGTTGTCACATCAAGATTTACTTTAAAACTAATCATTATGACTTTATGAATGATTTTAGAGTTTATTGATCATTATAATTGGAAAGCATTAAATTGATTTATTTTCTGTTTTGTTATGTATTTTCATTCAGAAATGCTAATAAAAAAAGTTTTTATTTCTTTTGAATATAATTAAACACATTCTCCGTTATTACTTCTATTATTTTTGTGTGTTGCTTAACTATAAAATTTTACGCTTATTTAAAAAGTATTAGCATTAAAACACTAAAACAAACATTTTCTTTTAAAGCTTTCAAAGTTTTGTTTGCTTAATTTCATATTTTATCTTCTCATAAATTTAGAATTTAAAAGTATATTTGCTTACTAACTGGGTAGTCTATTTATTTAAGGACATAAGACGGATAAGAGATAACAGGTAAGTTAAAAAAAAAAAAAATAGTAACATGGTGTCGGAAACGGAACGGATCTATACTCTCTTCTTCTTTTTTCTGTGTAGTTTGTTGTAATTGTTGACAGTAGTTGTATATGAAAGGACTTTACACAGGGGGATGACGGGAGTGCTACCTCAAGAGGTCTTCCTGGATTACCAGGGGCTAAAGGGGAAGCGGGTCCTAAGGGTGACAGAGGCGAAAGAGGATTTGTTGGCCTTCCAGGTAGGGTAGACCAAAATTTTCCTCAATTTTAAAGAAGACTTATAAAAAAACGCACAATCTTTTCCCAAGCAACATTTATTCACTTCCATTTAAAATTCTAATATGTGTGTACTTTGGTAATTTAAGCCTAGCTAATCGCAATGTGGGAATGGTTGTAATGCCTCCTCTATTTTACAATAATGGTAATTTTTATAATTCATTTCTATAGGCAATCATGGCACCTAGATTTTATGCAGCACATGTACTAATATGTCAATAATTAACCTAGGTCCTGTATGAATTGTTATTTAAAGTTAAAATGATATAGAATTGAGTATTGTAATTTCTATTTGACAAGTATCATTTTAATTTTGAGCATAAAATAACCCATAAAGATTTTCAGATGGTAAAATTTGTTTCCTTTTAACATTCATTGTATGAATATATGATAATAAGCAAACCATAGCGGTTTAATAAGGATGATGAAGCTAATTTTTTCTAGGAAATAAAGGTGATACGGGGCCAGCAGGGCCACCAGGAGAACCGGGAATGCACGGTGAACCTGGACTTCAAGGTCCTCCAGGATTGCCTGTAAGTTGACTCAATTTTGCCCAGTTTCATTTCGCTTATACAATTGCATGTTTTTAAGGGTCAATACGGACCTAAGGGAGAAAAAGGAGATTATGGTGATATTGGACCTCCAGGTTTAATGGGACCACCAGGATTGCCAGGACCACCAGTAAGTCAATACATACCTCTCTTTTTACATAATTATTAATGAGTAAATTTTTTAAAGGGATATCCAGGTCAAAAAGGAGAAAAAGGAGACAAAGGAGAATCTGTAATTATTTTTCCATATTTTGATAATATTAATAAAAAAATAAATTTAATAACTGGTTAATTTTAAATTGTATAATAGAAATACAAGAAGCTCAGGAGGCGGCAGGGTGATGGAACTTTTGAACTGAACTCAGGAGGGGGATCTGACACTGTAAGTTCAATTGAAATGAAATTTTTTTTGGCTTCCAACTTTTACAAATATTTTTTCTACAGAGATACCAGCAAGTTATAGGACCTCCTGGACCTCCAGGCCCACCTGGAGTCCCAGGTCTTCAAGGCCCACCAGGAATCAAAGGTGATCGGGGTATGGATGGAGCCAAAGGCGAGCAAGTGAGTTATACACATTTTAAAAAAATCTATTGGAACAATCACTACATTTGATACACATTACAGGGAGAGAAAGGTTCGAAAGGAGATCCTGGCCCAATGGGACTACCCGTGAGTGAAATCTGCTAACTTTTACCTATTAATAATCGGAATATTCAACTAAAAATTGAGACGCACACTCGCAATAAACTGAAACAAGTTATATATGCATGAATAATATCTTTAATATACATAAATGAATACATTTTTTTGTAGATGTAAATCATGGTTTTTGGGAGTGAATATATCAATAAAATAGTTTAAACAGATAGTTCTACTGAAAAACCATGTTGATGATGAACACTTAATACTTGACATCCGGGTCACTGCAAAACCCGTTTTTGTTTACATTTTAAAGAAAAAAGTAACTAAAAAGAGTATAAATTTTATTTAGATATAAAAATTAAATAAAACAATTTACTTTGGATTTAATTGCAAAGGTTTATACTTTTTCAAACTTAACAGTTATACAAAATAGGCAATTAATTATAATGATAAATTGTGGGTGCTTATTATACACCCTTAAATTTTTTCATATGCAGAATTTAGGAAAACAAAAATTCAAAGGATTAGTTTAAAAAAAAATTAAAGGTAGGCAGACAGATAGATAGTGTATTTTTACATTCTGAGAAATGCCCACGTATGAGAATAATAAAAATTAATATTTTATTTTTTGGGGGGTTTCAGGGTCCCATGGGCCTGAGGGGCGAGTCAGGGCGCCCCGGAGATATCGGCAAACCCGGACAAATGGTAAGGCCTATATATGCCTAAGACACAAAATCAACCAACCCTCTACCAAATTAACAGACTAACGCAATGAAGTGGCCCCGTTTTATGTATATTATTTTAACATCATGTAGGTCACTAACTCACCTGACACAACAAACACCCTTTGTGTACATATAGCTGCTAGGATAGGGCTATTTTTTATCAAAGAAGAACTTGAGTAATTTTTTTATGTTTCATTTCAAACAGTGAGAATTATGTATTGATTAGAATTTTTATCTCCGGCCATTAAATATTTTGTTGTTGTAAAAATCAACTTGTGAATATATATTTTATTTTTATTTTTTATTATTATTATTATTATTATTTTTTTTTTACTTAAGAGATTATTTCCATAGTTGTATATTTAGTAGAATTTCGCTAGAAAAAAGGGACTAACAGATTGCGAATAGGTCTTGAAGTACTTTAAATCAAGAGATGAAAAACAAACTGGTTTACCGGAAAGCTTGATTTCCTCTAAAAGACTGATATTAGAAGAAAAAACAAATTTCTTTATACTTAAAAAATAAAATAAATAAATAGTTTGAAAACCATTTCCACAAATATGTTTGGAATATATTGTTTTACTGTAGACATCATACATTTATAAATATGTAAAATAAGCTATTAACTACTTAAGAAATTAAACGTGTAAATTTTAGACGACAAAACCTTATCACCTTTTTGAATACATAATTTACAATTTACGCTATATAAACTTATTAACTTAAATGCTAAATAAACATTCTTATGTCGTTTTATGCCTCCCTGAATGTTTTATCATTAATTATTCAACTTGTTTGACCTCTTGGTTTTTAAATTCACTAAAATACTTTCTTTATGGTTAACTGCTTTTGTTAGTCCTAATTTTTAAGGTCCATCCAATGTAAAATTTAGTATGTATATAGTAATTTTTATATCATAATGATAATAATATGAGAAAAGTTATAAATATCTGTAATTGTATAATTTAATTGTACAATTTAGATACTCAGTCCATATTTTTTTATTTTGTGTGAAAAGCTTGTGGTACTAACAATTTACTTCTTTGTTTGTCACTTCCTTTTGTAATTACTATAATTTCAAACAAAATGATAAGCTTCAATTCAAAAATATAATTAAGAAAAAATGCAATTGATATAAATATTTATTAAGAAATAAGAGTGTGCTTTAACACTAAATTATGGTACCTCTAACGCCTTTATTTACTGCCATGGTTTTACATAATGGATTTTCTCTTTTCTACACTAATTAACTACAGTAAACATGTTCTTGCCAAAGTGATTAGTTGTTAGTTACACTTTTACTGTTTAGTTTTAAATGTAAGTCAAATATCATTCTTATTGTGTATGACATTATTTGATCAAAAGTGTTTTTATTTTTTTACTTTTTCTTTGAGATTCGAACATTCTTCATTTTTACGAATTATGTAGTTACTTACAGCAGCATTCTTTACGAGAAAAAATTGTGATGACATTGACAATTTTTGTGTATATGAATAAGATTTTATGTGTGGTTCTTAGTGTGCACTAATACATACTCATATGTAATTGTGTTATCATTTGTCACTTAACATTGTTCATTTTTTCCTATTAAAATACTAAAAGGATTAAAAATAGTAATGTTACAAATGTTGTTTTAATTTTTTATATAATAATTTAAATAATTTATGTAGGAATAATAAGGAATGGAGGATGTTTGATCTTAAATTGTAGTAAATTATTCCTTCCCCATTAGTATTATTTAATTTTTTTTGTGCTTTTTACCCTTTGTTTTGATTCAATAATAAAGTAGTAATTTACTGAACTTAATACATCTTCTTCTTGGCATTCTGAGATTTGAGTGTGCAACTACATATTTTAAATTTTAAAAAAGTTTACCTCCCCTACCCCTCAATTTAAATAATAATAAAATGTGTGTGATTAATGTATTTTGTATACATTATTTTAAAAATTGAAAGGATTGTGACTTTTTGCCTAATGTTAAGAGGTTGTTTTAAGGGGAAAAAATAATTTCATTTTACAAAGAAAGTGTGAACAATTTTTTATCAAACTTTTTGAATAAAGTGTAAGACCGATATCAATGCAAATGTACCCACATAAGATTGTAATATATATTAATTGTTATTGTATTGTTATATACAATAAGTATGTAAAATATGGTGTCGTATAGTAAAACTGCCGTAATGCCGTTAATATATGTTATTATGTATGTGGTTGGTAATTTATGTGGAAATAAAATTTAGATATTATTGTGAGTATAAGACCTCCACAAGTGGGAAATTGGAAGTGTTTGTCACCCCTGATCACTTTTATTGTTTCGATTGTATTTTTAATCTACCAAGCTGCAAGATGTTAAACAAGGTACTTATTTTTACAAATTGGCTTATATTTTAAATTTAAACTATTTATGAAAGGCATGCCGAATCTCAAAGAGCATGTAGGATTTTTAAAAAAACTTGAGTATCTTCCATTGCATGAAACATACAAAAGACTGGTAAGAAATGAAAATTGAGAAGTTATGAAGAATTGTCATAGTTTATAATAAATTAAAGAAGAAATGCACTTTTTATAGAAATGTATGCATCGTTGCATTTTTCTTCAAGTTGAACAGGTCTTTACTTGAAGCATGGACTTAAAAAATAAAGACGAGCTGAGATACAATTTGACTAATTTGTATTTCTTTCAAATGTTTTCAGGGTCCACCCGGCCTTGACGGAATGAAAGTAGGTATACATTTATCTGGATATTTCCGTTTCTCTAATGAAGTTCAAATTACTTTGAGTTTCTATTTTATATGATTTCAGTCTAAAATTGTCGGTTTTAGGGAGGGCAAGGAGAGCCGGGTGCTAAAGGCGAACGAGGTGACCCTGGTCTTCCAGTGAGTAGTTTTCAAAATTTTGACTTAAATTTAAACTTATCAAACGGAAGCAAAAACAAAACAATTAGTTCAACATAAAAATTATTTCTAAAAAGTTATATTGTTGAAAACAAAAGTAACTTTAAACAAGGGCCACTTCAAAAAAGCTGATCTAACCAACTATCTTAATTCATTATAATGTTTTATGTTGTAGTACTAAATATAACTTTCTAACATGTAAACAGCACAAATTCTATGTAGTTTTAATAGTGCACACACTAAATTGAAATTAAGAAGTTCTAATAATAATAATATACAACTATTGTTTAATTGCATGTATATATCAGGTCATAAAATTAGTCCATCGTGTTTTTTAATGGTAAATTCAATTAAATTTCAAATTTAATCAACAATATATGATCCATGTTGTCATCATCCCTGTACTTTTGCAATTCCCCTAGAACTTATGTTTTTAGTGACAAGCTGATCAGTGTGTTTTCTGCAGTCCTCAATTTAAGTAATGTTTTTTCCATTATTAGCAGAGCCTGGAATAAATGAAATATGAAAGGGAATCGGCATAAACACTTAGGAGCAAGCATGATCCTGGTGAAAAACAATCTCCAACAATCTCTTATGAGCAAATGCCATTAGTTTTTGATCAATTGTAAACTCTAATTGAGTGCAGCATAAACTAGAATTAATTATTATAGGGGACTGTGGTGGCCGAGTAGCTAGGGTGTCTGAATCGTTTGTGCCATGCTAGTGATTCTGGATTCAAATCCTGCTCAAATGGTGTTTAAATTGATAATGTTATGAAAATATATTGTAAAGAGGTTTAACCCCTTCTGTATGATAGGCATTACTCCACTTTTTATACTAGAAAATGGTCTAATTGGGTGGAAACACAATGAAGCATTCCTTCCAATCCTAACAAATGCACAATACTTTCATGGATTGTAATGCAACTTTTGGAGTTGTTATAGATGGGTCACTGCCTTTTATCCAGGATTTTCCTCTCAGAACATTGTTGTAGCCCATTTTTCATCCCAAGTTATCAAATTAAAAATGAGCCGTTTACATTGCGTTTTAGAAGGAAATTGCAGATGAAGATGCGGTTCAATAAATTCTTATAAGAATGTGAGCAACCGTTATATCACTTGGACAAACATATCCAGCTTATCTCAGCTGTGTTCAAATGCTTGAATGTGATGTGCTAAGTGACTCTATGTCTTGTGTTGACTGTGGGTTATTTGTATTGGATGCTTGAATTTGGTCATCATCAATGGTGAAGAGGGGGAGCAATTCTGGTACCGAGTGGATTTTCAATAGATTTTCAGTGACTGGGAGTTTTTAGTGACCCTGAGAAGGGCTGGTGATTGGAAGCATAGTGTTGAGACGATGAGTGAGGCCAGGACCAAGTGTGTGTGTGTGTGTGGGCCATTGGTAGAGAGAAAGAGCAGTTGCCTGAGGTCCGGGCCGAGGGTCGATTTTCTCTACATTGGTTAAAGGGACTCTGGTGCTGAGGGCAACGGCTTGCCAGTCGCTAAGTCTGCTATGTTGAGAAGGTGAATCTGAGGCTAATGCTGAGAGTACCCTTGACAATGATGTAGGTGCTTCATTAGTGATAAGCGAGAACCCATCGGGGAGATGAGTCTTAAGGTGTGAGGTGAGACCTTGTCGAGGGGATGAATCTGAAGCCAGTGGGGCAGTGCCCCTGTTTATATATGCACTGGCTCTGCTCTGCTTCGCTGCGGAGGGCGAGACTATTCCAGAACCGGTAGTGACACCTAGCTGGTACTGTGGTAACTGTAGGTGGCCACCACAAATCCACAGATTCTTGGCTCGTAGACCTAGTGATCATGAATTCAATTCTCGCCATCGCCCCTTTCCTTTTTTTTTTACTCTACCCCCCTCCCAAAAAAAATGATATATCAATGCCATTAAGGGGGTTGGGGAAACAGAAAAGCGCTTCCTTCATCTTCCAAACCAAAATTTCCGCTTTTGAACTTAACAAACAATTCATGGACTGTGCCTACTCTTAACCACCATTCACAGCATCGCCATCACAAGTTTTCCTATCAGTCTGAGTTGCAGTTTTCCCTTTGCTGTAATAAAAAGCCATTAATTTAAAAAATGTGCTGTTTGTTTCCTGCATTTTAAATAAGAAAAACTATCTAGCAACCCTTTATGGGTCCTGGTCTCCCCATTAAGTATATGCCAGAGTTCTTATCATTTGTGATTCCATTCCAGTTGCGAGCTCCTAGAACAATAGTGAACTGTCAAGCCACCTAAGCCTTCCAACCTTTCGGCACATACTCAGTTGTACACCCATACACCCAGACTACTCATGGCGTATCCACCATTGACATTTTCACCAACATAATGAACTTGGGTGGTAATTCATTTTTTGCGTGCCCTTGTACAATCTAGGACATATCACAAGCACTTTTAAAATGTATAAAAATGTGTGTGTTGGCACCTGGGATTCTATACCTCTTTCAAGAATCCACTGAAGGGAGAAGATCTGGTCTACTGTGGACTTATTTTCCCAAAGATTGCCTGATATTTTCCAATCTTTCTTTTGGCATATAAGAAAAACCACCTTGTAAAAATTACAAGATCTCAGACAAAACTTATGAATATAAACATCTTAACTAATTCAGTTTCAGAGTGTACAAACCATAATGACTAAAAAAATATTGTTTTAAAACGCAAGAGGGATAACAACAAATTAATGAAAAATGCTATGGACTAATTTTACAACCCAATAATTAAACTAATGATGTATACATATTTTTTTAGGTGATTTATCATTGTTCTTAATAATATAACTTTACTAACACATTTCCTTTATTTTAGGGGACTGATGGAATTCCAGGGTCGGAGGTACATTCTCCTACTAACCACTTAATTATTTATAATAAACAATTAATTACATTGTGTAAATTTACAGAAGGCATGTGATAAGCTTCAATGCTTGTTGAATGTTCATATGAAATATTTAAGAAATTGAATGCTTTACTATGTATGCCATGCAAGGGCATGTTCATTCATTAAATATTTTTACAGGGCCCGAAAGGAGAAAGGGGTCAGAAAGGTGAACCAGTAAGTAGACCATGTCTCATCAACAGGCTGTTTGGGTTTCAACATTTCAAATTATCAAATACAAGTTGGGTTTTATATTGTTTTGATCTGCTCACAGGGGCCCCTTGGCAAAAGAGGAAGGAAAGGAGACCGAGGAGACAAGGGAGACCAAGGTGTACCAGGACTAGATGCACCCTGCCCGATTGGACCGGATGGACTACCATTGCCTGGATGTGGATGGAGACCTCCTAAGGTACGCATTTCAAAACACTTGTAAAAAAAGGATATCTGTTTGTTTTATTTTCTTTCTTTATGTTAATAACAATTGTAAGATTTAATCATTTTATTTTATAAATCATAAAATTGGTGACGGCTCTTTGATTTGAATTTGGATTTATATAGGTAGGCTCAAATCCACACATGTACATACATACAAACATTCTATAGTCCACCAGCAGTTCCAGTTTTTGCTTTCTACAGTAGATTACAGTATTTACAATGAAGCAGACTCGAGAATCTCTCACCCAGGATGTGGGCAGACCGGGGTCAGACCTCAGTCTTCTCTGTCCAGCCACTGAGGTTGGGCTCCGGGAAGGGAATGCTGTCAAAGCTCGGTCAATTCAGCATCCAACACATGCAGTACCAAACCCATTAGCATACATATTCATTCTTAAACACATTCACTCCAATTTACATAAAATTCATTTAATTAGAGTGAAGGAGTACTCAATATTCCTCCATCACTCTTTACACATATAGTACGACTAACCTAATTGAGGGTTGATGGGGTTCTCGATATTCCACCATTGACCCTTTCACATCACATGTAGTGGTCACTAGTTAGTTTCCACAATACCGCTAGATGCCACTACGACTTATGGAATGTTCTCGCCCTCCACTCTGCAGCCAATTAGAGTAGAGCTCTTCCCTATATAAGCAGGGGCACTGCCCCGCTGGAAGGAAACTCGTCAGCCCGACGAGGTCTCAAACATCACTAATAATCAACGATACGAGACTCGTCAGCCCAACGAGGTCTCAAACATCACTACTAATGAACGACACCAGACTCGCCAGCCCGACAAACTATCACTAATGGAACACCGTCAACGACAGCAAGAGTACTCATAGCATTAGCCTGATCTCACCTTCTAAACAGCCATTAACGCCAACTGCTGCCCCTCAGCTAATTGCTGCACTCCAGTACCTTCAGCCTCTGTGGAGTCAACCGACCCACGGCCCCCCGGACCTTAGCCAAAGTTTACTCTATCACACAACACCACCAATGGCACCACTCGCATGGTCTCGCGCTCATACCATCGTCACAGCACCTCTTCACAACACCGGTACTTTTCAGGGCCACAAAACTCCCAGTCACTAAATCACACAGTCATGTTTCTCAACAGAAACTAGGTACACATAACTATTATTCCTATATTCAATATAACAACTCAGTGTTCTTCAAGAATCAGAACAGGGACTCAAATACTTGCTGCTGTGCTCAAGCACAATTCTCAAATCTGATAGCATTCCTGCATATTCTCTGTATATAGCCAAGGAATTGCACCCTTCAATTAGGTGAGAGACATCAAGTAATATATCCTGTGAGGGCCATCCATCCACAATGCTCTTGATAGGTGAGAGCTTCTCTGTTGACCCAGCCCATTAATGCTGGCACCTTCTTTTAACATATTTTTATTGCATTCTTATCACCAGAGGGTGGTTATGTATGTCCTGGCCTTAGCTGCCTCGTCCACCTTTTCATTACCTTCCAGATTACCTACCCAGACAACAACCACTCTTTTGCTGATACACTCCAGTGTTCGTGGTATCTCTCCAACAAAAACATTACGAGAGGGTCAACAGAAAACCTATCACAAACAGCAGTAACCACTGAGGAAGTGGTGATGCAGACATGGTAGGCAGAGCTACCATCGTCTCAAATCACCCCAAGTGTATGCCACATTGCATACAGTTCTACTGTGTTAATGATACAGTTTGGTATGAGCGACCATGAAGTTGACGCAATCTTGTGATACACAGCATATCACATGCCACACCTTCGTCAATCTTAGACCTTTCTGTGAAGATGAACCGAACACCAGAGTGCATAGAACTAAGCTCCAAGAACTTGGCTCGGTATGAAAACAAGAATAACCATTTTTGAATAGTTTATATTTCGTAACAACCCAATCATCGAGAGTTCGGTTAGGCTACAGTTGTTTTAAATACTACAACTTAGATGCATAAAAATTGGAAATTCGATTGGGTACCTTGATCTCAGCTCCAAGAACTTAGCTCAGTATGATGGAGTAGTCAACTTAACTAGCACGGTGAGATCTTACCGGACGAGTAAGGCAGGGAGGACCCAGGGGGGAGTCAGCTGGTTGCTCAGCTTGAGTAATGTTCCCAGTGTCATCCCTGTCCTCCCTAATACTTCACTGAATTTCAGAAGACACATCTGGGTCTGAAGTCGCTTGTACATTCCACTGTACTGGCACCTAAGGGTCACACCCAAAAGCTGATGTCCTGGTTTGGCAAGGAACACCACATAGCTGAGAGTGAGCTCCTCCCTCCAAAATTCAGGCAGCAGCAGTCCCAGCTTGCAGAAAAGGTAGCCCAAAGGGGCTTTTTCTGAACCAGCCAGAGACTGCTTGATGGCTCTGCTAGTTTTTCGGGCTGAAGAATAAGCAATGCATCCATAAAACAGGTCAGGAACAGCAATAAGTCAATATTGTTATTACTTTCCTTCCATTCACCTCGATGGCATTGATGTGTGGTTGCCATCTAAGCTTTTGATCAAACGTGAGGCCGAGGAATCTCACTTTCTCTATGTACCTTACTTTAGTGCCCCTCAGCAGAGCTGAATTAGGCTATGGGCCATCCTCAGCCTGCAAAAGTGGACACATATGGCATTCAATGCAGAGAAGTCAAATCTGGTTTCCTTGGATCTTCAGCCACGTTTATTGCTGACTAAATTACCCCTCCGAGCTGTGTCCCAAAAGGAAAAAGCAGAGTTTGTCACCGATACCATTCACTGTGATTAAGAAAATTGTAACGCTTATATTTGAACCCTGAGGGACTCGATTCACTTGAACAAAGTGCATGGAGAGCACGGACCCCAATCTGACATGAAATATTCAGTTCCTCAAAAAAGCCTCAAGGAACCAGGGTAATTTACCGCCAAATCTGATATCCCTACATTTCCGAAGTATCGCATATCTCCACTTCACCTTCCTCACCATGACATATCAAATGCTTTCTTAAGATGAAAGAACACAACCAGAGCTTACTTTCTATTCAGAAACATATTCTGAATAGTACTCTTGAGAAGGCAAGCATGATCAACTGTGGAACGATGCCTACGAGATCCCACCTGATACTGGCTGAAAACCTTTTGTCTCAAGACATCAGGTCAAATGACCGTTTATCATGCCCCCAGGAGTTTATCAGACAGGATGTCAGGGAGATCGGCCTGTAACTCGTGGCCAGATTCCCTGCCCACCAAGGATGGAAATGACCAGTACCTCACATCAGTGGTTGGGATAGGAACCCATATCCTCGGGAGGGTTTCACAGCATTCCATATGGGATACGTCGCACCTGGGGCTTGAACTCTAGACGTAACCCAATTCTTCAACTGTCAGAGGACGGTTATACACCTCTCGCTAATCGCCGTCAAAGTCAATCTGGACACATTACATTTCATTTTTCATTCTATGAAAGCTGTCAGAGTCAACCTTGGAACTTGACACAAATGCAAAATGTTGTGCTAATTCCCCTGCAACATCCAAAGCCTCAATTAAATTCTCGTGTTCCGTACTCAGTACCGGCATCAATGGAGCTCTAATCTGATCAGAGAGCCCTAATCCTTCCCGAGGCTTCTCAGTTGAAGTACGAGAGTTGATGCCTTCCTTGTACCTTGATAGAGATTCCGTTTTGGCTTGGGACAATGTATGCCTATCCTTCTCTTTTTCATGTTACACAAAATCAGCCTCCATCATCCGATATTGAGATGACGTGATCTGAAGTGCCGAAAAGCTCACTTTTCGGTGCAATGTTGGTGTAAGATAGACAGAGCACAGTGTGAGGCACATCAGTACTGCCACTTGGACTGCAATTGCCTGGATGCTCATAGGCTAACTCTCTCACCCCATGCGCATTTATTTTATCTCTTATTAAAATAAGCAATATTCCATGTGCCCTACCCCTGATCAAGCTGCACCTCTTTTGAGAAGGTTTGATACCCCCTCAACCTAAAGTGACCCACTGAGAGGGATGCAGGTCTCCTGGATGAGTATTGCCATCAGTGCATGTTCCCTGACAAGGAACTGCAGCATATCTGGTATGTATGTTTCCCCTTGTTTGCATGTGGTCACCCACAGCCACCCAGTGTGCGTCAGGATTTGAGAAGACCCCAGACTGGGCTGCCCCCTTCCCCAGGACTGAGCACAGTGAAACATAATTTGATCTTTATTATGGGGGTCTTTGGGAGAGTTGAGCTCATGTGTGCAGCCAACGGCTTTCCTAGAGCCATTGTAGCCCAGCAATATAACAGCCCTGAAAGGTCCCCCCTCATGGCCACCTCCCCAAATATTTGTCCAGGACAAGTTCTCCTAGGGGTGTACATGAATGTTAGTGATCTTGTGTCAGTGTAGGTGTGTTTATGGCACAGTTTACCCTTGTGACTGGGAGTGCGGCTCTTTGAACATAATTTAAAGCAGTGTTTATAAATTTTTAGTTGTAATTTGCAAAAATTGTTAGTTACAAAATTGAAATAAATAGTAAATATTCTTTAAATTTTAAAATATAAGTCAATTATTGTTAATTTTTGCTAGTTTCATTATTATTTGCTTTGGTTTTTACTTCTACTTTCTCCTTTATTCACCCTTTTTTTTTCAATTTTACGACAATCACCCCTCCATTTAATTTGACTTATCATCTAACTGTTTTGTCATGTAACTATTTACGCATGAAAATAGGAATTTCACGAGCCACTAACAACCCCTGCCCCACCCGAAGCTGAGCCTACGGAAGATGACAACTACGAAGATGGAGGAGAAGATGATTATGATGAGTATACGGATCAAGGCAACAACTACCAAAAGAAATAAAAGGTTTCAATGCTTTCTTCTTTAATACTAAATCTGCTTACTTTCTTTTTGTTTCCTCATGCCTGCCTAAGCTTTGTTAAATCCATTTTAAATTCTATGCAAATTATATCCTTCCAAAAAGTAGCAATAATTTATTTTGTTTATTAATTAGTTACAGAAGTACTTCGTAGAACATCATCCTCTTAATTAAACAACTGTGCAGATAGTGATGTCTGGACTCAAGTGACTGATGACATGAAATCTGACCTTTTTATTTATTTATACTTTTTTTAACATAAGACAACATAATAAAAAATAAACATACTTTTCCACTGGTTGATTAAAATTAAATTAAATTAATTTTTATGTGAAGAAAAATCTTATCTTTTTATCTAAAATAATTGTACAAATAAAATTGGCTAGGCTCTTTGTGGAAATCCTGAATGGAGAAACCCTTAATTTTTTCCTTTTTTAAAATAAGTTTTAACAAAATTGTGTTAATTTTATTAGAGAGGATTTTATGTAATAAAGGCGAGGGAGACAAAAAACAAAATTAGCATTTGTATACACATTTTGTAAATAATGCTTATTTCCTTTATAAGGACATACTACCATGTACGTGAGTCCTGTTTACTACCAAATCTATTTTTCTGTGTTCATATTTACCACTTTGTGTATGTACATATAATGTAATATTTAGACATAGAACTGGTTACTTATAGTAATTAAGTTTTATTTCTGAAGAAAACTTTTAATTTTCATTTCTATTTTTAATTAGATATGTAAATTTTTTAATGGCATATGAAGTCAAAATTTATTATGTTTCAATTAAATTTCTTTTTTTTTCTTTCTGTTGTTCAGTATTTTCAGTTTTGAAAAGTACAACTTAATAGATCATGACAAACATTTTTGTATATTAAGAAATGTTAAAATAATAAATATTTTTTATGTAAAATCATTTTTACTGGAAATAAAATTGTACCTTAAATTTTCTTTTTATAAACATATTTTTTTATTCCCTTTTAAATCATTCATTGAAAGAAAAAATTTACATTAAAACTTTTGGCAAATATCCTTTACCCTTTTTGTGGTATACCAAAAATGTGGATCCATCAATCAACGGATTAAAAATAAGTCTTCTGTTCAATGAGAATGTAGCCCAGGGACAAAGGCATGCCAAAAAGTTAATCAAACTATTAAATCTAGGACATGTCAGGACTAGACTAATAGCTGGGCTGAATTGGACACTGCCAATTCCGGAGGCATATGTATAGACTCGGAATGGCAGAAAAAAGCAAGACGATATTGCCAAGAAGAAGAAGAAGAAGAAGAAAAGCAGAACATGTCCTCTGTTGGTGCGAGGCCTATGTAGACTTGATTCCCAATGCTGGGAGATTGGAGAGGAAGGCATGTCCTGAAGAATACAGCCCTCAAAAAAGTTTTGTGATCTGGTAAAAAGCTTTAAGTTTAACAAGTTCTAGATTTAAAAAAAAAAGAAAAGAGAAACACAATAGCCCGATACTGGTCACAGTGAGCAGATCTTAAAAGAGGCCGGCTCCTATATAAGTTAATCTACAATAGGGGGAACAACATGAAGTAGTCAACGAATATAAATATTTAGGTGTTATACTTGCTGACTTGCGACGTGGAAACATTTCAAGACTATTACAGCAATTTAGCTCTTAATAGGACCGGGGGACCCTGGTCAACAAAGATGTCATCGCAGTCAAATTTTTAATGCTGTGCCATTTGCCACAGGTGCCAAGTATAGGGGTTTCCACAATATGACAATATAGAAAATGTTCAGATGTATATTATGCTAAACGTTTTTCAATGCCGAATTTAATACCACACTATATTTTTGAAGCCTCTGTTCCCTGGTTTTTATTTTTACTTTAAAACATCATTTTGAATTCGCCCAAAAACCTGCCTACCATCAGCTACCAGCCTGGTTCGTGGGCAAGGGAGACCATCTGTAGTAGGTCCTCATAGAGGGAAGTCTATGACTGTCTTTGATCTCAGACATAACCCCTTCACCCTTGGGATTTACTAGATACATTTAAGGTGGAGTGTCAATTTACTGGTTGGAAATACCTCGGTGAATCTCTTTTAAACTTCTGCTAGATTTTATTTTAAAAAATTTTGGGTTTTTTTACACCAAACAACCTAATTTGAGCAAAAACTTAAAACTGATTGATCAGACTTACACCCGATTTATCAAGACTGACAAATCCGTTGATCTATGAGGTTAAATTTGAATTTAAAACTCAATGAGAAAAGAAACAATTGTTCTCAAATAAGTCATTTTTTATTCAACACAAGGGTGACATCTTGTGCTTGCCGTACATCTAATGCTCTGATCTTTGTAAGGCATTCCATAAAATTGTTTGCCCAGTTAAAAGGCATTGATTTGAAATCCAATAATTTGGTTAGTTGGGAGTGTTCATTCTTCAAGCTATCGTCAGGGAATGTGAGCAATTCGTATCTAAATATTGTTGTTGTAAAACCCATTGTTTATGTGCCCTTTTTCTAATTGGCTGGCTGTACTACCCAGGAATATTCATTGGACGATGAAGCAGTCTTTTAAAATATTTTTGTTGGATGAACATCACTGCCAAATCCAAGGCCCTCCAAATTTAACAGAAATAAATAAAAACAGATGAGACTAACAAATTAAATAAAATAATTTTAGGATAACAGGTTTCCGATTTAAATCGATCATAGGCAAAGATTTTGTCAGACATATAGTCCAATAGAATTGTATATGTTTAAAATAAAATAAATAGGTAAAATATAGAGGTCAAAATTGTGTGCACCAGAGAAATGTACATTACAAAAGTCAATAAAAGTGACATGAGGGCAATTAAGAAAGGTTTTTATTTTAATGAGATAAGTCAGATGTTTAAAACAATGTGATTTAATTATACTTCTGGAAACAGTTATGGTTGTGGGAACTGATTGATAAAAGTGAGTTGGAATAGTAAGAATTTAATTTTTTTAAATACTCAAAAATTGATTAGTTTATTTTCTGATTTTGAATATTTGATTTGGTTAAGAAAGTGATTAGGAAAATGAAAACTACAAAGGATAATAGTGAACAAAGGCATACATGTTCAATAAAGGTTTCTTCCAAAAAGGCAGAAAAACCTAGAGTAAAGCCTGATGTTAATGATCCAATGGAAGATATATATGAAAAGCTCATTCAGCTAAAAGATTTAGAAGAAAGAGAAAGGAGCGATGACAATGATGAACCTAAAACTGAAAATATTCTTGATGATAAAAAGGCCTTAATGAAAATAATAAAGACGAGGCAAGACATGCGAAATGTATGGAACTATTTACAAGGACAGACCAGTGACATCAGCAGAACTAAAAAAAAATCACGTAATGATGCTAAAAGAAATTTGAGAAACAGTAACACAAGAAAATCATCTGCGTGCATGGAAAAGTGCAAGAGCGTGGAAAACACAAAAGTAGAAGAGTACACAAAGGATATTTCAAAAGAAGTGATAGTCTCCAATTATCCAAAGCAAAATGTAACAAGACCATCGCTCAGACTTTGGGAGAAAGTCACTACTAGACCTGCAGAAGACAACACAATGTCACGCAAGGATATTGTTGCTGCTAAATTAGCACAGAAAGAATCAAAAGACATGAAGTATAAAGATATTGCAAGAAAGAAGAATCTAGAAAATAAAACTTAACTTTTCAAACATTAATTAATCTTATTGTTGTTTTAGAGCAAGGAATTGAAGTTAACAAACAATATTTAATATTAAAAAGTCCGTAAAAAATTCAAATTCTATGTCAAAAATTATATATTTTAAATTAATCACATGTCTAACATGAAAATACATTTTAATGCTGATGAATGTAAAAAAATTTACATTTATATATGTAAAGTTCCCATTTAATGGACAGTCTCAAATTTTAAAATACAAATAATAAATATAAAAACAATGTTAGTTCAACAGGTCGATAAGGTGCACTGGCAGAGAGGCCAAAGGCCAATTGAAATGATTCCACAGACTGAGAGTACATTGAAACAGACAGGCTGTAACCACAAAGTAAGAAAGGGCTATGAAATGTAGCTAAAAAGCTAAATCTAGTCAAAATAGTACTAAAAAAAGTTACAGGTCCCATAAGACGTCTTCCTTTTTTTATCTTTTCGTTTCTTTTTATGGCTATATTTTGTTCTTTTAGAAATCTGTTAGATAAATTTTATTTTAAATTTTTTAGAAAGATTAAACTTTTGTTATTTTTGTTGTTTAAATGGAAATTCCATGGATATCTCACCTTATTGTGTGTGTGTTTTTGTATAAACTCAGAGACACTGGGTGTGCTGCGCTCTGCCATCCATGCTTTGTGAAATAGCCTAATCTCTAGATGTCCCGCATCAGGTTTTCTACTACTGGAGAAGCATCAAATAGAAAGGCGACTATTCACATATGAGTATCTCGCTTGGGCATAGATGAGAGCACGTTTGGTTTATGGCAATAGATGACCAAGAGCTGTGTGGCGAAGACATGGACAAGGCTTTGCTTCATGTGTATGCATGAGTCATAGCTATTCAAAGATAGTGAGTTACCATATGGGGAGGAAACAATGTCCATGCCTATACCAAACTGTGTATAACTGATCGTACAGAATTAATCGCTAAGGTATATTAACACGAATTATCATGCATCGACCGCTAGTTGTCACCAATTACTTGGAGGATGGAGGATTACTACAATGAATTTGCCTACAAGTTATCCTCACACTCACAATCAAAGTGACACAAGTCAACAAAAGAAAATTTTACAGGAGAGAAGGTGGAAGTTAACTTTTTTTAATGTATTAAATATACGTCATAACGGTTGTTAGCAATAAAAGCTGTCATGATCCATCCTTTCGTTTGTCCAAGATCTAAGGAAAACACAAAACTTTAAAAATACAGCTGTATTACCCCTAACAAACTACCCTTTTTGAGTTGTGACGTTTTTCTTGCATGTATTGGCTATCAGTAATTTAAATTAGTTTGATCTAATGATAATGGTGGTCAATCGATGACTGTGGGGGATTAATTTCTTTGTGGTAGTAATAGGCAACATACAAACCTAACAAACAAGCGTAAGTATCCATTTATTAAGTTTTACTAAGATTATTTTTGACCAAACTAATGTGCTTTCTTCCTTTTAACTGATTTAACAATTGTTTTATATTTTGTTCTAAACTCATTGCCAAAAAGGTGGAATTGAAAACTGACAGACTTTCTTACCTTTACTGACGGTAGTTCCTTCTTGTTGGTTGTTAACAAATTTTGAATCAATTTGTCCACGTGATGTAAAAGTTTAAATGTGTCACTTTTCCTGATAATTACTCACACCGAAGTTAACGAGTTAACCAATTGAGACCCTAACCATCCCTAAACGAATTCAGACGGTGCGTTCCCGCCAATTTAAAAGTGAAGCGTAGTGCTACCTAGCAGCTGAGAGTCAACCTACAGTTGTGTCATTTTTCCTGTAGCATCATCACCCAAAAATTTCAGAAAAACTAAATAATCCGGTTTTTCGAATTGTGTCACTTTTCTTGTGTGTGGATGTGTGTGTGTGCGCGCGCGCTGACAAGAATCCTATAGAACATTTATGCGACATGATAAAGGTACGTGTTAAATACCTAAATAACGTTCGCCGTTAACAAGAAGCTTTGAACAGCTTCAAACCGGGATTCTGTTTCACAAGTCGAAATCCGATCGCTTACTTACTCGAAGCAGAGGAGACTCCGCGAGACCATAGAAGGTAATGCACGTTATTAAAAGCAAAACGGTGTATTGTTATGCTGAACCGGCATTGGGTCGTGTTTTGAGATATTCATCAAACCCGCGAATGGGGGCGCCAGCGGCTGCAACTGAGGCGTTGACACGACGCTCATCACTGCAAGGTAAAGGTCCCGGGATCGAATCCAGCGGCCTGCATTCGAACCCTACATACTTACAAATGGGCTTGTTTTTCAAAAACACCAGAATCCTGAGGGCTCATATAACTCATAGTTGAAATACCGTCGTAAAAATGAAAAATAAAAAATGTGAAGTCAGCCCAATGCCGGTATACCTTTCTATCTAGTACTATCTTATGATCAAAATCTAAAAAAAATGTCATAATTAAAAATTATGGTTGAGACCAAAGAAATGGTTTATTTGTGACGAAAGGTCCAAATCGATTAATGTTTTAAGTTTTAACAGCTTTTCTCATCTAGATAGAAATAAATTTCAAGGAAAAAGTATTCAAATTGATGAAATTTAAATTTAATAAAATTATTCCTTGAGAACGAAATATCCGAAAATAGGCCAAAATTGTTCCCCTTTCCAGAACATAAATCCACAACAAAAATTCCCGGTAATAGCTTGCCCAGATTATAGTCTATCCCAGGCTAAGCAAAAAAGATAATAAAGTTTGAATCTACCAAGAATCAAGAAAAATTATGCATTATAATTATTTTTAGCAGATAGTACAAATCTTTTCAGATGAGGTAAATTTATATTTAAAAAATAATAATGAAAAACAAACAAAAACAGAACAAACGTGTAGTATGAAAAAGAAGTCAACGAAATTAAATTTTGGCTTTAAAATATCTTAACTGAAATTTAAAATTTTTTAAATTAATAATTTTTTGCCTTCTTTGTAGGTTTTATAAATTTTGAATAATGATACTTTCTTTATAAAAAAAAAAGAAGTATAATAAAACATATAAAAAGTAGAAATAATTAATATGAAATCGTTAATTTTTTTTAGAATATTACAGGTTTTACTTTTTCAATGTCAAATATTAAATTTGATAGGAGGATTAATAAAATAACCTCATATCTTAATTTACAGTCATGAAAACATAATAATAAAAATTTTGGCTTAGTTGTTTATAAACTAAATAATTTTTTGTTAATAAACGAAATAGTTTATTTGGGCGAAAGTGCAAAATCGAATCATGTGCTAAGGCTCTAACAGCTTTTCTCATTAAATTGATATACATTTCGAGGAAAAAGAAGGAGAATTGCTGAAATTGAAATTTAATAAAATTACTCCTTCAGAACCAAATCTCTCGAAAAGCCAATAACAATCGGCCAATATTTGCACTTTCACATAGGACATGTTTTTTCACCAATCTAAACTCCCGCTCGAAACCTTTCCAGATTTATAGTCTATTCCAGAAAACGCAAATACGCTAACAAAGTTGCAAACTACAAAGAAGCAAAAATTGTACTGTTTTGTGTAAGAATGAAAGAATTGTTACAGAGGGTACAAATCTTTCAAAGCCCCCATAAGAAATTTATTTTACTTTTTCTTCTTTCTTGAAAATATTTTAAAAATAATAAAATCTGTGTAGAAATCGATAATTAAAGGCACCTTGCCGATATGTGAGAAACGTGTATTTTATCCAGCTAATTGCTTTGATGCCGAATATGATATAGGGGGAAAGCGCGGAACAAGGGTCACTTCTTGGGCCAGTGGGTCTTCAAGGTGAAGGTTGAAAGTTTACCCCTCATTTTCTACACAGCAATATGGGTTTCATTTCTCTATAATCATGTTTTTATATTCGCTACGAAATCCTTATTTCAGAAATCTTTAAAATTAAACATATTCCTCTCAGTATAGACTTGTATTCACAAGAATATGATCAGGTTGGTTGGTCACGGATTTGGATCAAACATATTTTGTCCATTATACGCTCCAAAAGATCGGACAAGTATCTGCCACCTCTTGTAAATAAATCTTGGTTTTACTTGCCATTTTTTTTACGTGGAAATTTTTCGTTTTTTAATGTTTTTATTTCGCCTTTCTTCTAGCTCAAATTAACTATGTGAATATATCATTTTACAGCATGTACATTGCAATAAAAATATACTAAAAGCTATTAAAGTTGATAAATAACCAAAAAATGTCTAAAAACCAAATATGTATCAAGTCAACTTGAACATAATTTTTTTCGTGAAACTAATGTGAGATTTCGTCTAGAGACTCCTATAATTTTTTTTAAATTTAAATTTAACAATTTTTTGGTCCCTAAATGTTTTCCAATTTTTGAGAAGTCGTTATCTGAATATCTGATTTGAACGGATATAAAAAAACAGCTAAAAGGGTATTAACAACAAGACAAACCATTTGGAAGAAGTTAAACGTAGATTTTTAACGAACTATGTACCATTTAAATATATAAAACATTAAATTCACTAATTTCGTGGTCCGCTTGACCAATTAATATATTACAATTAATTAAGGTTTTTAGTTGAGATGAAAAAGTCAATGGCACGAGTGGGATTCGAACCCACGATCTTCGGCTAGATACGCCGCTGCTCTACCCCTTCAGCTATCGTGACCTCGATCCACTCGGATGGGAAGTTGATGTCCGAGTGACTTTTTTATCTCAACTAAAAACCTTAATTAATTGTAATATATAAAACATTTTTAAAAGAAAATGCGTAAAATTGGAAAATTATTTATCACCTCGTCCTCGTTTTTTAAATGGAAATAAAAGTCTTATTTTAATTATTGATATAGTTATGAAATGCAGTTGATAATTTCTTTAAAATGATTTTTCAACCATGGTTAAAATCGGTCCACTAGCCTTTGAGAAAAATGATGGTAGATCTTCCACTAGGAACATCTGTCAGGCAGAACTCGTCAAAATGATCAATCAAAAAATTAATTTACACCGATTTTCGCGAAAGTCGATATCTAAGGGTTTTATAACGCCATAATCTCGACGATGAGGCCAAATCCAAGTTTTGACCATTTTCTGATTTACTTTGGTTAAAGAAAGTTTGTTAAAATATGCAAAACAAGTAGTATTATATAGTTATAGATAGATATTTAGTTCACTTATATTTTTAAATCATACCAAATAAGAATATTCTTTGTGGCATTTGTAGAACAATTTTGTTTTATGTTAGACAACAATGAAATTAATGGACTAAAAATAATATTTTTTAAACTTAAATAACGATTGATGCTCGTTTAATTAAATTTACTTTATACTTATAATTTTAAAATATTCAAAACTTGATTTTGACCTCATTTTTGGGATTCTAGCATTATAAAACCCTTAGATTGATGATTTTCTTGCCTGAGAAGAAATTTAGGGAATTGACAATAGATTTTCATTGAGTTTTTCGTTTACATATCTTCTCCTAATTAATCTATTCCTAAGATTCTGTTACTATAGTTGAACAAATTAGTTATTTCTTTACCTTTATTTTTTTGTATTTATATTTGCTCCTATATATTTTTTTTTATATTTGCTTAATTTAATATTTTTCATTTCAATTATAGTTCATTTGTCTTTTACCATTATTCTAAATTTATTGTAATGAACGTTGATCAAAAAACACTCCACCATATTCTCAAGAAAATTCAAATTCATTATTTTAAAACAGGAGGCATTAAATATAATTCTCGTTGAATGAATTTATTTATTTATTTATTTATATTGTATAAATTAAAATATTAGTAAAAAATTATAAATATAAAGCATTAATGAAATGAGCATAAATCGTTATTTAGAGATTTAAAAATATTATTTTTGGTGTTATTTTTTAATTTAATTGTTGGTTAACATAAAAACAAAACTGTTCTATGAATACGACCCAGAATATTCTTATTTGGTATGATTTAAAAAGGTCGATTAACAAAATACTGTTTTTTTGCATATTTTAACAAACATTTTTTAAGTAAAGTAGGTCAGAAAAGTGCAAGATGTAACATCATTTTTCTCAAAAGCAGGCGGACCGATTCTCATGGGTGATAACTCGTTTTAAAGAAATTGTCAAGTGCATTTTACAACTATATCAAACATTAAAATAGGACTTTTATTTCTATTTAAAAACCGAGGTTGGTTTCTCCAAATAATTTTCCAATTTTGTGTATTTTCTTATACAAATGTTTTATATATTTAATAGTACATGTGTAGTTCGTTAAAAATCTACGTTTAACTTCTTTCAAATCGTTTGTTTGACGTTAATATGCTTTTAGCCGATTTTTTATAGCCGATTAAATCAGATATTCTGATAACGACTTCTCAAAAATCGGACAAAATTTAGGGGTCAAAAAATCGATAAATTTAAATTCAAACAAAAATTTATATTTATGAGTCTCTAGAGGTGCTAAAACGAAATCTCATATTAGTTTCACGAAAAAATTTTATGACCAAGTTTACTTCAAAAATATTTGGTTTTTAGAAATTTTTTGTTCATTGATAAACTTCGATTGCTGTAACTGTATTTTTATTACGTTCCACATAAAAAATGTTGTAAAATTATTTATTCACATAGTTCATTTGAGTAAGTAGAACGGCGAAATAAAAATATTAAAAAATGGAAAATTTCAACTTTCAAAATTATTTTTGGCGGAACCAGGTCCTATTCACAAGAAGTTGCGGATAAGTGTTCGATATTTTGAAGTGTAGGATGACCAAAAAAGACGTTGGATTCAAATCCGTGTCCCACCAACTTGGTCGTAGTCAGTTTAATTTCAAAGAATTGTTCATTTGCCTTTCATCGTCAACTTAAATTCAAAGAGGAATGGATAAACAGAAATATAATAGAGAACTTGCATAGTCTCAATCTTGATTTCATCGAATTAATTACCAAAAGGAAATAAATATTTATAATTCTCCCTGGTCGTTTCTCACAATTTTGGTTTGTATATCTCTGTGCTGGTCTGTCAGACGCTTTTCGGCATTTCACAATCTTTGGAAGTTGATCAGGGTTATAAAGAAGGTTATGCAATGCAGTGAATGTGGATGTAAAAATAGTGAAATTCTCACCTACCAAATCAGCGAGATAGTAATCAATACACTGACCTCAACGAGAAATTGTCAAAATTCACAGAGAGATCATCATGCACAGAACTACATATAATGATTTCTTTTGTTTCTGATTTCTTTGTCAACTAACACTGCCTCTTACGACAGTTGTATCTCTCGATATATATATAAGAATTTTTGTTTGATTTTTTCCATTAATTATATGGAAATTTTAATAAATTTATCCTTGCTTCATTTTTTGTCAGCCGTATCACTAAAACGTGTATTTTTTAGATAGTCAACGTGGCAGCCAAGAAAATGAGAAGCTTCAACCTTTCATCCAAAAAACTTTGCTGCAAGCGAAGGGGGTCTAGAGCCAAGAATCTATCACGCTGACCGATCGGCTACCGCGGACCCCACAAATTTTTGTTAAAAGGTACAAAAAATATATAATAATCACCATACAAAAACATATTGTTTTATTTAGGCTAACAATATGGCTCTAGTATTAGTACACAAATTATAATTTGGTCTATGATATATCGTTCGATACGATCGACTTCATTTCTGAAACAGTGATTAAAAATGATACCAGAAACTTAAAAAATTATCAATTTACTCTGCGGGTAAAAATTTCATATCAGTCGATTATTTAAACCTAATTTTAAACATCAACAATCAATTACCCCATACATTGAAATTGTCGAGTTCCAAAAGAAAAACTTCAGGATCTCCAGAACGAATCGATTAATTTTTAGGTCTCTGAAATAATTTTTTCCACACATTTTGACCGACCTTTCCGTTTGAGAAAAGAATCAGAAACTTATTTTTATATAAATCGATTTGTTCTGGCGATATTGAAGTTCAGTGTTCAGAACTCCATAACTTAATTTATCGCATAACTGGTTAAAAAAGCACCAAATTTAAACAAAAAAAGACGGAAATTTAGTTTGTACCGATTTTTAAACCTAAATTTACCTCGAGAACGAATCGGTTAATTTTTTTAATTTCTGGGATAATTTTTTCCACACATTTTGAACGCTTTTTTCCCTTCATAAAAAATGATATTAGAAACTAAAAAAATTCGATTTGTTCTGGCGATATTGAAGTTTTTGTTTAAAACTCAATAATTCAGTTTATTTTGTAACTGGTAAAAAAGAAGAAAATTGAAGAAGAAGATTAGATTTACATTGAAAGAAAAAATACGAAAATTTAATGTGTGTCGATTTTTTAAACTTAACTTCAAGTATCAACATTCAGTCGCACGATAAATTGAAATTATTGAGTTCCGAAGGAAAAACTTCAGGTTCTCCGCAACGAATCGATGAATTTTTAACTTTCTGCGATAATTTTTTCCTCGCATTTTGAACACCTTTTCTGTTTTAAAAATTCTACCAAAAATTTAACTAGTGTGGTTTTTGAGGGGATTGTTTTGAGACCACTAAGGAACAAATAACTATATGTTTTTTTAAAATGTTTAATATGAAATTATAAAACAATCTTTATAATATTTTCATATATATCGTAAGGTCAAACCAAAGCTATCGGATTGTACCTAGTAGTAGATTTTTTTTTTTAAATTTTACAAAAATTTTTGCACCCATGTTTCCGAATGCAAAGCCAAGAAACGTAATCTCACAAAATAAGGTATTGTCAAATGCGAAAGAAATAAAACATGATTACAAAGAGCTTAAGCCCCATTGAGAATGGAAAGTGCTTTATAACCGGCCGTGGAGGGGAGGGGTTTAAAAGGTGGTAGTTGACTCAAAGAGAGTTCAGTATTCTTTCCGCACCGGGAACGGCCGTGCAGTTGGATTTCTTTTTGTTATCGACGTAATATTGTTTTCTTTTTTTGTTTATGCGTAAGTAGAAATCTTATTTTTATTTATTTATTTTCTTTTGTAAGACAAGAAATTATTTTTTGTTAGGATGGAAACAATAATTAAACATCACGATTTATGACACGGTGACAATAACTAATGGTTTGAAAAATAGCGGTTTTCAATTAATCGAACACATACGTCTAGACTCTAGACTAATGGATATACATATAATAGTTGAATGTAAATTATTTTATTTTTGATTTTGTATTTAAAAAATACCGAGAATTACGAGCGTTCTCAGGAATAACGATGAAGGATATTATAATATATAATAATGAGGGCCATGGTATTTGCTATTAAATAAGGTTATACAAGGAAAGTAAAGAGATTTGTCCTCTTGTAATATATAAAGGAAGTAAATTTAGGATCAATCGAGTTTTGCATAAAATATTTTTCTAAAACTAACATGCACAAATAATGGAACTGAATAAATTTGAACTCCAAAAAAATTTAAAAAATATTTAGTATTGGAAGTAACCTAATTTATTGGCTTTTTCAGTAATATTTTTTACATGCTTTGGCATTTCGAGGTTGTAATAAATGCTGGGCCAAGATCTTTAAATGAGGTTTTATTTTGTAATTGAAGTTTATAACCAAAATAGAATGAATTGTTAAAAAAAATCAAATTTATTAAATGACATGACGAAGCAATTATCAAAATTAATTTTAAGATAATTATTTCAAAAAACTCAATAAACTTATTAAAGACAGTTTGACGTATAGTCAGGTCTTAGGGAATACCCGGTACAATTTGACATCACCAGCAGAAGTTAACAATATTATTAAAGATGATAAACAATAAGGATCCTAAGTGAAAGCCTTGTGGAACTCCTGATGTTATGTTTATAAATTCGCACAAAGGATAATTAATTTTTAGTTGATGTTGCCTACCATGACCATTTGTAAAATATGAGAACATGATGCCATCGAAGCCCGGAAGATTTAAATATTGATAGAAGCAAGATTTACAGAACCAATTGCCAACTTTTTTGTTTTCACAGAAGATTTAAAATAGTTGATTTCTTATGGTGAAAATCTTGTTGTGATTGTTATATTTATTATTAACAGGGGTTTATGATAGATTAGAGCACAGATTCAAAATTTTATCAACGGTAGTTTGAGGGCATATGGTATAATTAATCACATCAGATGGGCAGCGAGATTTTAACAGGGGTTTAGTGTAAATAACTGTCCATTTAGTAACTTATTATTTATTAACATAATCTACTTATTAAATTTCTATAAAAATTGAATACCTGCTTGCACATTCAGAACGTAAGTTACAACTTTTAAAATAATCTGATAGCTTTTCTGTTTTGCTTTAACTACCTATCTACTACAAATAAATCAGCTAAGTGTCTCATATCACCAAAGTTTTTGTTAATAGTAGAAGTGTGGTAGCATTTTTATCATAGAAACTATAGGATACATTTTGAAAAAAATTGCTAGGATTTCTGGGAACCTTCGCAACATCTTAATTTAACTTTGTTAACAGTAAAAGTTCGAAAATTTTCAAAAGATTTTTTCTTTCTTTTAAAAAAATGTATGCCGTGCGAGTTTTTATAAAAGACGTGGCCTTTTATTTTTATGCTACCTACTTTATTGTAAAATAAAGTAAGGTTCCGAAAGTAATTTTTACGTACGATCTGCTGGTACTATTTATTAGAATTTTAATTAGATGAAGCGTTAAGCCAACCTGGTGATCAACCTTTCTTTTCATATGTGATGCCCCATTTTTTTTAAATTTTTAAAGTCTTGTCCATCCTAAAACCAATTGTACCAGAAACGCAAAAATTAATCAATTCGTTCTGAACTATTAATCACATAAACTAAATTTTCATATATTTTCCCATTTTCTTTTTTTTTTAACCAGGATAAATTGAAATTAATTAGTTCTGAACGAAAACTGATATCTCCAGAATAATTCGATGATTTTTTTAAGTTTTTGATATTACTTTTTTAGAACAGAAAATATGTAGCTTTCAACCAAACGTTCTTAACTTCGCCTTAAAAATTAGCCGATTCGTTCTGGAGATATTGAAGTTTTCCTTGAATTCCTTCAGCAATTGATCATTTCAATTTCTCTTCATTTCAATTTGGTTTAACCAAATCAACATAAATTAAATATTCAATTTTCACCTTTTTGTAACTATGTACACGACGAGTTCAAATTATTGATCCCTGAAGTAAAATATCCAGATTGATATTAAATTTACCTCATTATGAATTTTTATAGCTTCTTTCTTTTAAATGAAAGACTTTTAGTCAATTTCAAAATCTGTGAAAAAATGATTAGAAACTTAAAAAATTCATCGATTCGCTCTAGTGATATTGAAGTTTTCCTTCAAAACTAAATAAATTTAATTTAACGTGTAACTGATTGTTGTTGTTGTAAGTTAAGTTTAAATTAAATTTTCATATTTTTTCAATTAAATTGTAAATTTTCTATTTTTTCAACCAATGTCATGATAAATTGAAATTATGTCAGTCGGACCACGAACTTTAATGGATTACGTTCCGTTTTGAACGACAACTTCACTCTCTTGAATAGATTGGTGAATTTTTCATTTTCTGGTACAATATCACGGTTTATCGAAAGGACAATCCAAATTTGAGATAAATAAAAATGACATTTGAAAATTTTAAAACAAAATGTATGACCAGGTCGGCTAACTTACAAAAATTATAATTGCACTACCAGTTTTTCCTTGACGTGACTAATTACATTTGGAACCATACTTTGTTTTACAATAATATAGGCAACGTAAAAATAAAATGCCAAATCGTTTATAAAAACTGACACATTATAATCAACACTATAATACCTATTAAAATTTGTTGTAAACCATATATGATTTTATTCCCAGAATTTGGAATTTAAATTTATTTGCACGTAAACCGTTTTGGCCACACACCACCTACAACAGTTCAATCATAAAACTCTTTTCGGCTGGTTTAAGAATCTGGGATCTTTTAAAATATTAGATCCCCTGAGGAAAGGGTCAACGATCTCAGGATATCTATTCGACGGTCAATATTTCGCCGGTTACGTTGCTCTCCAAACGGAACCTGTTCTGTGACCGGTGAAAAGACTTTCTTCCCGATTTCGCCGTCTAACGAAAGAAACATCCAGATTTTAACATATGATGTAACTTATTATGAACTTGAAAAAGAACACGAAAACTGGACTCATATAGTTTCATTTAATGAAAAAGTACAGATTTCATAACTATTTCTAACAGATTTAGTCAGCACACGTATAGAAACTTTACTAGAAATAAAACTTTTAGATCTATTTGAAGCTATTTTGAATTGATTATAATGCAATGGTTAATTGATCTATTAGCCAAGAGAATAGACAAATTAAGGGAAATGTTAACCAGTTCGATAGTATTGGTAAGGCTAAGTCAGTCTATAAAGTCTGGCAGATTTTTCGTTAACAAAAATATTAATTCAGTTATGAACAATAATTCAGTTTCAGATTATACAATATCTCATAGCTTTCGTTATTTTATTTTTTCTTTTACTCTACCTAGAACCATATAATTATGAT